ACTCCCCCCTTCATCAGGGCTTCATCTGACTGTGCTTAACCACTTCCCATCCGGCTGCTGTATATAAAAGACCGGACGGTGGCAGTGCAGGGGCAGGTTGCCGTTCATAAACGGCACCCGCCATTTTGTTTTGTGTTCGCTCCCTGGGAACACCGATCGCTGTACGGGACCTCTGTGTGAGGTCCCGATCATTTGATCACTGATTGGCCGGTCAGTGATCACATGAATAGGTGTAAGCAAGATGTCGCATTCTGACATCATTGCTTACTACGTGTGAAATCTGTGAATGATCACAGAGGTCACATGGTACAGGCAGGGGTGTATTTACCACAAGGCAAACAAGGCATTTGCCTAGGGCGGCATCTTCCAGGGGGCAGCGGCATTTTTCAGAGGGGCAGCGCTGCCCAACTAAAGAAGGAATGGAAGAAGAGACACACACAGCATGGGGACCAGGTGGGATCTGAGAGAGGCTGCAGGCTGCTTGGTGGTGTATGCAGAGCTTGACTCTTGTTCCCGGGGATGCCTGGAGCTGTGAAGGTGAATGTCTTCTCTCTTGCCAGGGTGGGGAGGGGGGCTGCCAGTGTATGGGGGGCGGTGCTAGTGGAAGGCTCTCTTCTCAGGTGGGGTGTTGTTGGTCAATGTCAGGCACTCTTCGTGGGGGAGGGGGGTGTTTGTTGGTGTCAGGGTATCTCTCCATGTGGGGGGAGGGGGAGCCAATTTTTGTGTTGCCTATGGCAGCACGAATCCTAAATACACCACTGGGTACAGGGCTATTCACAACACAGCCTTGTACCATGTGACAAGCTGTGACCAATCACAGCTCTCACAGTATTTCTCAATGACTGCAAGAATGCAGCCAGAGAGAAGGAGAAATTATTGATTTTACAGCCTCTATGGGTGTAAAAGCAATCAGTGTAAAAAAAATAAATAAATCTTTATCACTGTACTGCTAGGGTGACAGTATGTTAAAAAAAACCCCATAAATAATAATATAAAAAAATAAAATAAAAATGTAAAAAATTTTTTGGAAAAATTATATTTTTTGGTTATAAACGAATTTGGGTTATTTTCTTTTTACTAATAGATAACTGAAAAAATGTGCAAGATTTATGAAGAAAGATTATTTATTTGCAAAATATTATAAGAAAAACTCTTTTTTTCAAAATTTTTGGACTATATAGCAAAATAAATAAAAATCCCAGTGGTGAATAAATACCACCAAAATAAAGTTTTATCTGTCTCAAAAAATTTGAAAAAAAATTCATATGGGTACAGTGTTGCATGACCGCCCAATTGTCATTCAAAATGCGACAGCACTGAAAGCTGAAAATTGGCCTGGACGGGTAGGGGGTAAAAGTGTCTGGACATGACCCTGAGGAAGTCACGTGTTAAACGGTACGTGGGGAGGAACTTCGGTAACGCGCGGTGACGTCATTTCCGGCGTGGGGGCCATATTGGATCACCATGTTCAGATACCCATGCAGTACACCCATAGCATGTGGTAGAAAGCTGGAGGACAAGACGTTTTAATGTGAGTGCAATACTTTTTAATTTGGATGTTTATCTAATGAACCGGTTACACTATGGAGGGTCTCTGCTTGTATTTCATTATGACCCTGGGAGGAGCTGGCTGCTAGTCTGGTGAAGGCTGGGGACGCTTACCATCAGTGAGGGGAAAGTCCTGAGGGGAATCTGTACTTACAGGATCGCTTGATCCCTAAAGCGAGCTGGCCCTGTGGGGTCTAAGTAAGGAGGTGAGGGGGCACTTCGGATATTGAAGGATTGGCACGTGTGTGTATCACGTACACAGCACGATATTTGCATGAAGAGTGAAGTGGGAGGACCACTGAAGTTTTTCTGAAATCTTGGAATTTATTATTCATTCACAGTTGATGTGCACTATTGTTTTTTTTTCACATTATTTAAATTCGGGTTGTATATTTCACCCTGTGCACTGGATATTCCCTATGAGAGGGAATTTATGACACCATTGATTGATTGATTTTTGTAAATCTCCCCCGATGTGTACATTAAGGGGATGGTTTTATATGTACCGTATTTTCCAGCGTATAAGACGACTTTTTACCTCTTGAAAATCCTCTCAAAAGTCGGGGGTCGTCTTATACGCCGGTATACGGCATGCTGACACTTTTTAGGGGGGCGGGGGGGGCGGTGGTGCCGCCGCCCCCCCCCTTCCAACGGAAGGGACACTAAGTACAGGGGTGGGCAGGGGCTGCTGTTTCTTACCTGGATCCTGTCCCACGACGATCCGGTCCAGGAAGTGCGGCTGCTCCTTCACTTCGGCCACTGGATGTTCGCGCGGCTGCTCGGCTCCGCCTCCTCACCGGTGATTGGCCGCCAGAACTGTAGCTCAGGAAAGGCACACAGGCGGCCAATCACCGGCGAGGAGACGGAGCCGAGCGGCCCCGCGAAAGTCGAGTGAAGGAGCGGCTGGAAAGTGTGCCGTGTAGAGGTGCTGCTGCAACCACATATGCTGGCTGCAGCAACACCATACTAGAACAGGGGTCAGCAATTGTGATTGGTGTCAGTGGGAGGAATAGTGTCCCATCATTGGTGTCACTGATACTAATGATGGGGCACTATTCCTCCCACTGACACCAATGATGGGGCACTATTCCTCCCCCCCACTGACACCAATGATGGGGCACTATTCCTCCCCCCACTGACACCAACGATGGGGCACTATTCCCCCCCCCCACTGACACCAATGATGGGGCACTATTTCCACCCCCAACTGGACACCAATGATGAATGGGACACTAATGACACCAATGTTGGGACACTATTCCTATTACCAATGATGGGGCACTATTCCTCCCACTGACACCAATGATGGGACACTATTCCTCCCCTGACACAATGTTGGGACTATTCCTCCCACATACCAATGATGGAGCACTATTCCCCCCACTGACACTGACACTATTCCCCCCACTGATACTAATGATGGGGCACTATTCCTGCCACTGGGGATACTAATGATGATGGGCACATTCCTGCCACTGATACCAATGATGGGACTCCTCCCACTGACACCAATGATGGGATGGGGCACTATTCCTCCCACTGACAATGATGGGGCACTATTCCTCCCACTGATGGGGGCACTATTCCTCACCACTGACACCAATGATGGGGCACTATTCCTCCCACTGATACCAATGATGGGACACTATTCCTATTCCTCCCACTAATACCAATGATGGGACACTATTCCTCCCACTGACACCAATGCACTATTCCTCCCATGAGGCACTATTTCCTTCACTAATACCAATGATGAGGCATACCAATGATGGGGACACTATTCCTCCCACTGATACTACCAATGATGGGGGCACTATTCCTCCCACTGACACACCAATGATGGGACACTACTCCCACTGACACCGATGATATTCCTCCCACTGACACCAATGATGGGGCACTATTCCTATGGCACTATTCCTCCCCTGATGATGGGGCACTATTCCTCCCACTACCGATGAACCAATGATGGGGCACTATTCCTCCCCACTGATACCAATGATGGGGCACTATTCCTCCCACTGACACCAATGATGGGACACTATTCCTCCCACTGACACCAATGATGGGGCACTATTCCTCCCACTGACACCAATGATGGGGCACTATTCCTCCCACTGACATAATACCAATGATGGGGCACTATTCCTCCCACTGATACCAATGATGGGGCACTATTCCTCCCACTGATACCAATGATGGAGCACTATTCCTCCCACTGATACCAATGATGGGGCACTATTCCTCCCACTGACATTAATGATGGGCCACTATTCCTCCCACTGACACCAATGATGGGACACTATTCCTCCCACTAATACCAATGATGGGGCACTATTCCTCCACACACCAATGATGGAGCACTATTCCTCCCACTGACACCAATGATGGAGCACTATTCCTCCCACCAACCGATGATGGGACACTATTCCTCTCACTGACACGATGATGGGACACTATTCCTCTCACTGATACCAATGATGGGGCACTATTCCTCCCACTGACACCAATGATGGGACACTATCCTCCCACTGACACCAATGATGGGACACTATTCCTCCCACTGATAACAATGATGGGACACTATTCCTCCCACTGATACCAATGATGGGGCACTATTCCTCCCACTGATACCAATGATGGGACACTATTCCTCCCACTGATATAATGATGGGACACTATTCCTCCCACTGATAACAATGATGGGACACTATTCCTCCCACTGGTGTGCATTGGAAGAGGGGTAGTCTTATACGGCGAGTATAGCCCAAACACTACATTTTAGCAGGAAAAGTAGGGGGTCGTCTTATACGCCGGAAAATACGGTATTTAGTTTGTGTATTTTACTCACTTATTCATGTATTTTTAGTATTGTTAGCGCTACACTGTTTATTTTAATTGGACATGAAATGTGCTCCCAGGGAGTGCGCGCACAATCCAAAATGGCGGGCACTGTTTATGAACGGCAATCCGCCCCTGCACTGCCACCATCCGTCCGTTTTATATATATAGCGGCCAGACGGCAAGTGGTTAGACTCAGGTGAGCAGATGCCAAATAAACCTGCCCTTTGAATTACTGCTTGGAAACTTCCAGGAGGGCAGGTTACACCAGTGTTAGCGAATGCAGCAAAGAATTCTTAAGCCCTGATAAAAAAGGAGTGTGTTTTGTCCTCCGAAAACGCGTTGGCTGTATTCTGCTGTGAATCAATGTTATCATTATACAACCCTGGGCACTCGGACGTTTGGGGCTCTCAATGGATTCTGTGTGACTGTTATAGTAGAGGGCAACACACTCACACTGCAGCCCACCCCACACACCATGCATTGTCCTGCACTGTGGGGAAAAAAAGGCGTCAGGTACAAAATTTGGGCCGTTGCCATTGTTAGCAGCCCATCTATAATTTATAATAAATGGGCTGCTTTACCCTCATGTGTTGACATACCTCAATAGCTCAGTTTAAATTACTATTTTTTTCAGCTACAGAATATGAGCAGGTAAAGGTTTTCATCTTACCTTTAGTATCATTCACCGGGTCCATGTGCCGATAGATATATCCTTCCAAGTAAGAGTGAAACTTAGGCGTCGGTGGAAAAAAAGCCAAACAGATGGTCATTAATTCCCAACCCCGAGCCAGGCTCTCATAGCGGAAGTTCTCGGTGGTCTGCCGGCACAGTTGGATGTACAGCTCATCCCTCAATCCCTGCATGCTCCATCCTTTGGTGGCAACCTCTAAAGCTATGTTGAGCTGGTCAGCCTTGGATTTCCGGTCGCCCATGTACATCTGGATGAGCTTGAAGATGTCGCAGGCCTCTTTCTTCACATTGCGGTCGGAGGTCATAATCATGGGCTTCTTGATGGACTCGCTGCTCCAGGCCAGCATATTGGCGATGGAGACCTTCCGCCGGAACAAGCCTTGCGTGTGCTTGTTGAAGTGCTTGGAGGCCCAGTTCTCGATGTCGGTCTCGGAAGAAGGCTTTCTCAGGGTGAAGGTAGGAAAGACGCAGCTAGAACTGGGCATCATGTTCCTGTTACGGCTGTTCTCGAACTGGGCACACGCACCGAGGTCCTCAGACTACGAAACAGACAGAGAGAGACATTTCACTGTCAGCCTGTGTTGGATCTAATTTTAACACAGATTAGCTACTTGCCGCGTATCAGATAATTGTTCGACTTACTTCAAAACACATGCATCTCATTTCGGTAATTGCTTTTGTGAAAAAAAGTCAAGTATTTGGGTAAATGTGATAAGGCCATGGACGTCAGCGGTGGCATGAAGTCCAGTGCAGGTTCTCTTTACCACATGGGCACCGTTTGATATGATTAGTGGTGTATAATGCACAGAAAGTTGGGACTGGAAGACGTCACCACCGTGTGACATGACAACATTACCAGACAATCGGGTTAACTGTTAACGGTCTGGAAATTGATGACATAATGAGTGACACCAGTAGATACATTTCTAGCAATATAAAAAAAAAATGCCAATAAAATAACAATGTGACAAATACAAGGCGGCCTCAAGCATCTGTGCAAATTGGAGCAATAAAAAATTTTGGTAGAATTGGATATATCACAAGTGTAATAAAAGCGCCACACCCATAATACTTTAAAGCAGCAATTCCACCTCAAAGAAACCAAATAAATTTCTTAGTGCTATAATTTAAATAAAGGAATGCCATAGTATAACCATATTGTAAAGTATAAAATTGTTTACAATAATTTGATTGCATCATGTATATTGATATATATATGTTTGTTATAGACGTCATGCCTTCTTGAGCACTTCTGAAGAAGAGATTTTTGTTGATCACGAAACGCGTCGAGTGCGAACCAAGCATGATCCATGATTAGATTTGCAATACCATCTCCGATGACACCGCCGCAATATGTATTGTAGCTTTATGTTTATTTTTGAAGATTGTAGAAATAAAATTTCATACTGTTTTTATAAAAAAAATCTCTTTTGAATTGTTGAAATTTATCATACAAGTAAATTGAGCCGTTAAAGTCCCACCAAAAAAGAGGACTTTTCCCGCCCTTGAGGTGTTGTATTTATTTCCTTCCTGCTGGTGTCAGAGCGTAGACAGGGGTATGACATCCTGACACCCCGCTCTCCATGTGACCGTGTCCGGGCCTGGTGATTGGCCTCTCAGGCCGAACACTGTCAGCTAAGGGAAGGTGACATTCTCCCCCATACCCAGAAGCCTTCTATGTTCTATTAGGGAGGGCTCCAGTGGTTTGGGGGAATTGGTGAGTGAGGGTGGCTGAGTATGTTGGAGGGAATGGGCAAAGGGTTGACACTGTCACCTGTAAGTAAACTTGTCCCTTTGTTATATCCAATTCTTTTAAATAAAGGAATGCGCTAAAACCACAAACTATTCCTAATTTAGTGTAGAAACATTAGTGCAAAAGATATATATATATCTATTCTCAATTAATATCAAAAAATATCAAAATGATGTGCAAAACTATTTTTTAGTGCATAAGTAATTTAAATAATTAAATTTGTGAATATAAAAATTGTCCAATTTTGAATTTCTTCAAATGTCCAAACAAATCCTTTTCAAATTCAGGTGCTCTCAAAGAAATTGTGCCAAAATCCACCACCAAAGTAAAGTTGGGTAACTCACCAGAGCTCCATGCTGATCAATCTCTAGATCTGGGAGCAGATGAAATAAATCAACTTCTCAGGTGTGATGATCAATAGCTACACAATCATCCATAAGGTAGGTATCCACCCTCAATATAACGGTTCCAGGAGCCTTATATCACACTCTCTTTTTATATCTCTCCACCGAGGTCATGTTTGGGAATGAAAGAAAAAAATCATGGTGCAGCCAGTTTTTTTTATAAAAGTATCCAACAATTTAATAAAGATTTAAACTCACAAAAAGGGTTTCTTCACTGACACTGCGGTGTCTGCGCCGCCCCTTGAAGACGTCATTCATGACGAAACTAGTAGGGCTTGCTGGATGCTGACGTCTGTGGAGAGGATTGAGTCACGAGCGCTGTAGTGAGTGTGCGGGGAGCAGGAGACTGTTGTACCATTTGCTGTTTTATGCTGTTATACTGGTGTCGGTGAAGACACCCTTTTTGTGAGTGTAAATCTTTATTAAATTGTTGGATACTTTTATAAAAAAAATGGCTGCACCATGATTTTCTCTTTCATTCCCAAACATGACCTCGGTGGAGAGATGTAAAAAGAGAGAGTGATATAATGCTCCTGGAACCGTTATATTGAGTGGTGGATACCTACCTTATGGATGATTGTGTAGCTATTGATCATCACACCTGAGAAGTTGATTTATTGCATCTGCTCCCAGAGCAAAAAGCGTTTTTTGCTGATCTAGAGATTGATCAGCATGGAGCTCTGGTGAGTTACCCAACTTTACTTTGGTGGTGGATTTTGGCACAATTTCTTTGAGAGGACCTGAATTTGAAAAGGATTTGTTTGGACATTTGAAGAAATTAAAAATTGGACAATTTTTATATTCACAAATTTAATTATTTAAATTACTTATGCACTGAAAAATAGTTTTGCACATAATTTTGATATTTTTTGATATTAATTGAGAATAGATATATATATATCTTTTGCACTAATGTTTCTACACTAAATTAGGAATATTTAAAAGAATTGGATATGACGAAGGGACACGTTTCCTTACAGGTGACAGTGTCAACCCTTTGCCCATTCCCTCCAACATACTCAGCCACCCTCACTCACCAATTCCCCCAAACCACTGGGAGCCCTCCCTAATAGAACATAGAAGGCTTCTGGGTATGGGGGAGAATGTCACCTTCCCTTAGCTGACAGTGTTCAGCCTGAGAGGCCAATCACCAGGCCCGGACACGGTCACATGGGGAGCGGGGTGCCAGGATGTCATACCCCTGTCTACGCTCTGACACCAGCAGGAAGGAAATAAATACAACACCTCAAGGGCGGGAAAAGTCCTCTTTTTTGGTGGGACTTTAACGGCTCAATTTACTTGTATGATAAATTTCAACAATTCAAAAGAGATTTTTTTTTTATAAAAACAGTATGAAATTTTATTTGTACAATCTTCAAAAATAAACATAAAGCTACAATACATATTGCGGCGGTGTCATCGGAGATGGTATTGCAAATCTAATCATGGATCATGCATGGGTCGCACTCGACGCGTTTCGAGATCAACAAAAATCTCTTCTTCGGACGTGCTCAAGAAGGCATGACGTCTATAACAAACACATATATATCAATATACATGATGCAATAAAATTATTGCAAACAATTTGATACTTTACAATATGGTTATACACTTACATGATTCCATGTGAGGTAAAAACCGCCAGGAAATATTAACCTCTTTCCGTCCGCCTGCTGTTTATAAACGGCAGGGCGGTGGCAGTCCAGGGGCGGGTTGCCGTTCATAAACGGCACCCGCCTTTTCTAGCTGTGCACGCTCCCTGGGAGCGCGCGCAGCACCGCGATCCGTTGCCCGCTGTGTCCTTCGGACGCAGTGAAACACCGATCATCGGACGGGACCTCTGTACGAGGTCCCGATCATGTGATCACTGATTGGCCAATCAGTGATCACATGCAAAGTAGTAAGCAAGATGTCACTTGTGACATCATTGCTTACTACATGTGAAATCTGTGAATGATCACAGAGGTCACACGGTACAGGGCTATTCACAACAGCCTTGTACCATGTGACAAGCTGTGACCAATCACAGCTCACTCAGTACTTCTCAATGACTGCAAGAATGCAGACAGAGAGAAAGAGAAATGATTGCTTTTACATCCTATATGGGTGTAAAAGCAATCAGTGTAAAAAAAAAAATCTTCATCACCCCCCACAAGTAGTACAGTGTCACCATGGTGACACTGTACTGCTAGGGTGACAGTATGTAAAAAATAAATAAATAAATAAACAATAATAATATAAAAAAAAATAAAATAAAAATATAAAAAAAAATTTTTAAAATTATAATTTTTGGTTATAAACTAATTTTGGATTTTTTTTTTACTAAAAAATAACAGAATAAATTTTGGCCAAGATTTATGATGAAATATGATTTATTTGCAAAATTTTATTTAAAAAAAAACACTTTTTTTTAAAACTTTTTGGACTTTTTCATTTACATAGCAAAAAAAATAAAAATCCCAGCGGTGAATAAATACCACCAAAATAAAGTTTTATCTGTCTCAAAAAAATGGTAAACAATTCATATGGGTACAGTATTGCATGACCGCGCAATTGTCATTCAAAGTGTGACAGCGCTGAAAGCTGAAAATCGCCCTGGACAGGAAGGGGGTGAAAGTGTCCGGTCTGGAAGTGGTTCATTAGTTATTGTTATGTGAACACAGCCACGGATTTCTCATAGATCTCAGGCAAAAATGATGAAACAAAAATTAATAAAGAAAAAAACTGAGACCAGTGGATGGAGAGTGCCGCCCAAATGCCTCCTGAAGGGGCCCCGCCCAAATGTACCATCAACAAGATTACCTGCTGGTTGGTACTGATAGGGCAGTGCTGCAATGTGAATAAAAAGCAATATTAATATCAACTGGATATCATAAACCCTCAAGAAATTTTAAGTTTAAGAACTAGGCGCACCTACTATTTGTTGATCTCGAAACGCGTCGAGTGCGAACCATGCATGATCCATGATTAGATTTTCAATACCATCTCTGATCACACCGCCGCAATATGTATTGTAGCTTTATGTTTATTTTTGAAGATTATAGAAATACAATTTCATACTGTTTTGATAAAAAAATCTCCTTTGAATTGTTGAAATTTATCATACAAGTAAATTGTGCCGTTAAAGTCCCAACAAAAAAGAGGACCCCCCCGTATTCATTAGGGATGTTGTGTATTATATTACTTTGTGTATTATATCCCTTCCTCTCTCTAAATACAACTCCTCCTGCGCTCAGGGACCCACATCAGAAGTGGGCCGATGGAACAATATTTGAAAGTTCGTCCAAAAACCGGTCATAGGTCTAACACGAGGCTGGGGAAACCCGATACACACTGTAGTGAAGAACAAAAAACAAAAGCGCACCAAGTAAGCAAATGGTAA